CACTCACAAAGAAAGAGAAAAAAATAAATAAAAAGAACAATGAGAGAGAAATGGGAAAGAAATACAGAAGTGGATTAGAGTGAATAGAGACAGAAAGGGGGAGAGAGAAGAGAGAGCAAGAAGAGACAGAGGAATAAAAGCACTGTTTGGCAGAGAAAAAAAGGGAGAGAGATGGAGAAATATGGAGAAACCATGGAGAAAACAATGTGGAAAGAGACGGACAGAAAAGCAGATGCAGTAAGATCGATGGAGATAGAGTGAGGAGAAAGAGATGGAGAAAGAGAGAGAGAGAGGGGGGAGAGGGGGTAGATAGGACGGTGTCTGGAGAATTGGGGGCTCCCGGCTTCTGTCAGGTGCTGGGTGCAGAGAAGAGAGTGCACCTGAACGCACCACTGGCTCCTGATAACTGCTCAGCCCTGGCCCCCCTCCTCCTCCTCTTCCTCCTCCTCCTTCTCCTCTCCTTCTTCTCCCAGTGTTCATTTCACCCAGGCACCTGTGAAGGGCACACAGCTGGGACAACACATGTGCGAAATTCAAATCCGACTTGAATTTTTTTGTTTTATTTTTGTTTGATTTTTATCCAAAGGCTTAGAGACGAGGATTTTCATTCATCAAGTTAATTCCCAGATCGTACAAAACCTTTCTGTTGTTCTGTTGTTTTGTTTTTTTTCTCCGTCACTCTATAACAAAATGGTAATTGATACATTGCTGGGACATCACCCTGGAGGTTTCTGCATGTATATCTAAGGCAGAATATTTAGCAGTTACCATGGTGACACAGTGCAAACATTAGCATACACTGCCATTAAAGTTTTTATATTGTCTGAAAATTAAAAAACACACACACATAAAAAAGCACATATTTTTTATTCAGTGAGTAATAAACACTACACTAGTAATAATTTCTAGATCATTGTTATAAACTTGGACTGATTTTTCTTGGGAAACAAAGGATTAATATAATGGAATGGAAATGGACCAATCACAGTTTTTCTTCCAGTGGTATCTGGGTAAATCAGTGACTCCCCCTGCAGCACTGAACTAAACAAACACCTGCAGGACCTTCGGTGGCCGGAACAAAGTTTGAGATTGACAGTTGTCTGAGCCAATCATATTTCATGGAGTTATGGGCGGGATCATATCACGAAAATCTTCCGGGCCTTCGTGAATACCCTGTAAATGCATTATGTAAGCGAGACCACAGCGACGAAAACCGCACTGGACACCTCGATTTGGACACCTCAGGGGTGTCTGGAAGAAGGAGAACAAAGAGAAAGATCCATGAACCGCAGAGGCTCGGACACGTTGCCTCTCACGGGGTCAGAAAAAAGTGTAAAGAAAAGATCGCGGTGGACTGTTTCAAAATAAAAGCCAGTGAGCAACAGATGTTTACAATAAAAAAAACAACAATAATAATAAAAACGATGTTAAAATAATTGTTGGTGATAATGAATTAATTAGTTAATGCAAAATTAACACGTTAATGTGCCCGGCCCTACTAAAAACATATACTGTATTTTCCGGGCTATTAGTCGCTCTGGATTATAAGACGCACTGTCATTAAATGATCTATTTTCAAACTTTTTTCACAAATAAACCGCACCGGACTTTAAAGGAAACACAACAGTTGGATGGGTCAGTGGGACTTTGTTTGTGTTGTTCACGGTGACTCTGGGCTTTGTTCAGTTGTGGCGTGTAGGGAGGGTGCTGTCTGGGACCGCTGGACTGTCGGCGTGTTCGCAGTGACTCAGTTGTTCAGTTGTGTCTAGAAGTGGCACATTGCGCTCGCTTTTTCGGTTTGTTCCTCCGTTCCGTTCCTCTTCGGTGTGGAGTGATGAGTGTGGCTGTGGGTGTTTTTCGCTGCGCGGTCATTGTCTGCTCCGTGTGTGTTGAGTTCCAAGTCTTAGTCCATTTTATCAAGTCAAGTCTCAAGTCCTAAAAATAGTGACTCAAGTCTGACTCGAGTCCAAGTCTCCACCTCTGGTTAGCATCACACCATCAGGGAATGTTTTCAGTACTTGGTTCTCCTCTAGCGTTGGCAAACACAATACTAGCATACAAACAAGATTTGTATCAAACTGTGCGATACAAAAACAAGAATAGAATAAGATTAGATTTCATTATAAAATGCGGAAAACTGACAAAAATACACTTTCCTCAAAAACAATAAATCCAATTAAAATGTCTCATATGTTTGTATTTTTCTTCACATTTCAGAAATAGAAATATCCAACATTGTCTCTCGTTGTATCTTTTTATATTCTCAAATTGTAGTTTTCCTTCTAAATCAAGTAAACAACCACACAACCCCTCGTAGCATCTCGGCTATTTTCACCACGCCATTAGCTAGCATCTCCCTCACTACTTGATGCTATCTGTAAACACATTTTTCCTTTTTGTTCTTTTTACACATGCTAGTTCTCTGAAGACATGGGTAATTGGCAGAAAGGCGAGTGGAGTGGCTTCGTGATGGACTATTTTCTATTTCTACAGCTAAAGCTTTCTACCAGATTGCGCAGAGAAAGAAAGTTGGTAAAAATGTCAAAAAGGACGCTACCTACCGCCGCGATTCGGACGTAAAATTGCTAGCTGTGTTTTTAAAAGTTTTTCCTCTTGTCGCCTACGCTGTTACACGGAATTCAAGATGGTGGCGTGGTATTAGCGACGCTCGGCTAGCTAGTACGGACAATTTGCCGCGGACATGGCTGCATCCGCTCCTCTCATCTTCCCGGTTGTTATCTCGTCTCCTCTGACAGCTGTGAATTTTCTTGTCATTTGGAATGTTTTTTTCCGCGGATTTGTACTTTTCGCCGAAGGATACTTGACTTTGAAAGTTTGGATCTGGGAAAAACTTGAGATGTAGGTTTTGTGTATATGGTGACCAGACGTTTACCCAGGACAGTCCCACTTTTGAGCCCTGTGTCCTGTGTCCCAGTGGATTTATACAAAACTACTGATTTGTCCCAGTTTTATTCAAGAAATGTTTCAGGTGTCTCTATTTTTGACCCATTTGATACTCACCAACATTAATTAGAAGCATACATTGCGATTTGTTTCGGTAAAATACAGAAAAGCCGTTTAAAAATGACCAAAACACAAAGAAAATATGACTCATGTTCGTCATAAATGATCTCTGCATAACAGCGTTCCTTAATTACGCATTCGTTTCACAATTTTATTATTACTAACCACCAAAAAAAACAAGCATGTCCCAATTTTTTTTTTCGAAATTCTGGTCACCCTATTCAGTGGCAGAGTTAGCAATTTGGGGGCCCTGGGTGAACTTGAGTTTGGGGCCCTCACTATAATGCACCTGTTTTTTTGTTTAGTTTTTAAAAAAATATATTTATTGTCTGTTTATTTATTTATTTGAATTATGATGGATTGGAAAACTGTCTTAATAGTTAAGTCGCCTACTAGATAATCAAAACTGAAAGTAGTTTTATTTTATTGCTAGTACAATTACATATTTGTTTACATCCATTACATATGATTATTATTAGTAAACTATTCTTATTTAATGTCATATTGAGAGAAATCAAATCAAATGGCTCTGAGGCCTCGGCCATTTGTGGCACTGAGGGCAAATGGTTAGGGACCTCCCCAGGTTTGGGGGCCCTAAGCAGCTGTCTACTTTTCCTAATGGTAGCGCCGCCTCTGAACCTATTTGTGTGTTGACATGTAGCCAGCAAAAATGTTGGATTTTTTTGTTTTGTTTTGCAAACGTGAATGAGCAATGATTAGATGTAGCTCAAATGTAGACTTCCACGCTTTACAGTACCGTATTTTCCGCACTATAGGGTACTCTGGATTATAAGGCGCATAAAATGGTCTATTTTCAAACTTTTTTCACAAATAAACCGCACTGGACTTTGAAGGAAACACAACAGTTGGATGGGTCAGTGGGACTTTGTCTGGGCTTTGTTCAGTTGTGGTGTGTAGGGAGGGTGCTGTCTGGGACCAACGGATTGTCGGCGTGTTTGCAGTGACTCAGTTCAGTTGTTTCTAGAAGTGGCACATTGCACTCACTTTTTCAGTTTGTTCCTCCGTTCCGTTCCTCGACGGTGTGGAGTGTGGCTGCGGGTGTTTTTCGCTGCGTGGTCGCTGTCTGCGCCGTGTGTGTTTACGTGTTCTGCAGGTGGTGCGGCTTTGTAGTTTACTGAAGTCATGCTGGGACACCTGAGTGGATTTGTGTATAGGGCGCTCTGGACTCTGGGGCGCATAGTTGTTTTTTTAATGGGGTTGGAGGCTTAAGAGCTCTATGGTGCGGAAAATACGGTAGTGTTGGTAGTTCAATCCCTGTTACTGGCATTGCACACTACTGATACTTGATCACAACGGGGGTCTTCTGCTTGTATCATTATTACTGGAATGTTCATCAGCGTGCATGGTGACACAACGCTCACACTGCAAAAAAGCTTGGCCAAAATTTATGATATAAACACTTAAATCTATCAGAAAATGACTTAAAAGTAGTGAAATTATCTGTCCACGCAGCAAGATCATTTTATTATCTTAAAATAAACTACCTCTACACTAGAATTAAGCAGCCTCAGAGCTAGTAAGTAGATAATAAATCTGAAAACAAGATGAATAACCTGATATAAGTTTTAAAATCTTGGCCAGATCAGAAAACTTTGCAGTGCATTTTAGCAAACACAGACAAAACACTACTCATCAAGGGGCTTATCCTCCAAACAAATAAATTCAATTCAGCTCCTGTTTAGGTGTTTGATTTTCAGCAAAAAAGGATGTAAAAGTGAGAGTGACTAACTGAAAAACTGTCATCTCATCTGTTGTACTTCCAACCAAGACCGCTCTTTCTGGTCAGATTTCTGTCTTAAAATAAAGATCAGATTAAGTCTATCTTCAGTAACAGAGCTTCTAACAGAGTAATGCTTTCAGTTAGCATCACACCCCCAAGGAATGTAGATGATTTTTTGTTTTCCAGAAGTGTGAAGTCTTTTTCATAACACTGTACATCTTTTCTCCGTCCCCAGAGTCCGAGTGACGAGGACTTGGGAGCGTCTCCAGATGGCGCTCAGGAGTTCATGACGTTTGAGATCCCTCTGAACGACTCGGGTTCGGCCGGACTCGGGGTCAGCGTGAAGGGCAACCGCTCCAAGGAGAACCACGCCGACCTGGGCATCTTCGTCAAGTCCATCATCAACGGAGGAGCGGCCAGCAAGGCAAGATACACACTCTCTGTAAAGTGTTTAACATGTTGTCATTGACGTTCACCCGCAGCTCCCTGTCCACTGACTCATCTGACAGTATTGATTTTAGCGAAACTCTGCAAAAAGCCCCGTAGAGATATCACTGGGGCGGAAATGACCGTGATTAAACTGGCTCTTGCTCTCCATCTGGGAATATGACATCATTACTCTAGACTCTGAAAACCAACAACAACAAACAATATCATATTAGCATTGCCTAAGAGATGAACAAAGACTTGGACGAATTATGCATTTAAAAAATAAAAAATAAATTACAGATCCCATGGCAAAAGTTTGTCAATTGGACAAAAGTTTATTTGGTCGAATATGTTTCATAGTTCATCCAAGCTGCCTTTTCAGTTCTGGTCAGACGCTGGTGGACACTTCCTTATATCGGCCTGAAGGGAGGAGCTAACTACAATGAAACTACTCTAAAACTAACACACACACTTGTTTACGGTTTCTGTTAGTTAGTTAGTTAGCCTATTGAACTGCACTGAGTGTGGGGTCATATTAGCAGAATCATTCAGGGCCATAATGGGACCTTTCACACCTCTGGGCCTGACCTGGGTATTCCTATTGTTTTCTTTAGTTTTCATTTAGATTTGAGGATGGAGTTGTAAATAGGAGATAGATGGTGTCTGAGTCCTATGTCTTTCTTAATAAAAATAGTTTCATTAACTCCCCTCTCAAACCAGTTCTTTTCTTTGGCTCAGATCTGTATCTCACTCTCCTCAAAGGAGTGGCCTGAGAATTTTAGGTGGAGACTGGGGTTGCTTTCTTGTCTGTGTTGGTACATCCTCATGTGAAGTGGCTGTTTCATTTCTCCAGTGTAGCGCTCACTGCTGTCTTCACTACACTGAATGGAGTAGACCACATTGCTTTGTTTGACACCAACTAAAATTTGACAAAACACCAGGCTAACTAACAGAAACTGTAAACAAGTGTTAGTTTCAGAGTCGTTTCATTGTAGTTGGCTCCTTCCTTCAGGCAGATATAAGGAAGTGTCCACCAGCGTTTTGACCAGAACTGAAGAAGCAGCTTGGATGGGCTGCAAAATGTATTCGACCAAATAAACTTTTGTCCAGTTGTCAGATTGAATTTCTCCTTTTGCCATGGATTCTATCTATCTAAAATGTATCCCTAATTATGTTTTCCTTTTTTTTGTTCGTAGGACGGTCGTCTGCGTGTCAATGACCAGCTCATAGCCGTGAACGGGGAGTCGCTGTTGGGGATGACCAACCAGGAGGCCATGGAGGCTCTGAGGACGTCCATGTCTGTGGAGGGCAACAAGAGGGGCATGATCCAGCTGGTGGTGGCCCGCAGACTCGCAAGGCTCATGGAGGTAAGAGCAGAAACACATAATACAAAAAGATGCTCCTATGAATTATATACTTAATGGCAGTATTGATTTCTACCATTCAACCATTTCTCTATCAGTGGGTTTCAGAATGACGAGAACTTCAAACTCTTGCCATAGCGAATACCACTTTAAAATGAAATATTGCTTCTTTTGAATGGGAGAAAGTCCTCAAAAGGTTTCTTATAAAGCTGAAATCCATGACTAGCCTTCTTTTTATATTTTTCATTATTATTATTATTATTACTTATTATTTTTTTATTTATTTATTTATTTATTTTTTTCATTATATTTTAATAGTTACATACTTACAAATTTAAATTTACAACATTTTCACTGTCACAAACACCAATTCAATAAGTACTATTCACTAGCACTTCTCTACTACTCCAATTATTACTACTACCAATGCCAGTACTTCAACCTCCATATTTATGCTACTACTTCATTACCTTTACAAACATAAATGAAACATATTCTTCAAAACAACTTTTCTGGAAACAGATTTTAACTGATGCCAAACATACTACTATTACTACTACTACTTTAACCATACAGACACTTGTTACTTCATGATTACTTCACTATCATGATTATTTTTTGACAGAGCCACTTCAAATCCTACAATTACCACTTTTACTATTGTGACCTCTTTATTATGATGCTACTACTACTACAAATACTACTTCCATTATTAGTACACTGCAGAACTGGCATTACTACATATTCACTCCATCGTATACCACATATTGTACTATACTCATTCTTTACTCGTGTAGTTCAAAGCCTGCAGCCTGAGACAGAGTGAATAAGACCGATAGCGACATTTCCACGGTGATAAATGACTGTATTCCAATCAGCCCATCTCCTCCCTATTGGTTAGAATGGACCTTTATGAAGACCACACCACTATGCAAATCTAAAGGAACGCGCTTATTTCCCTATAGCTCCCCCCCTCCGATAGCATCTCGCCGGCTTCATTCGCCACCTCGATAAAGCTCTATGAGTGACAGGCCGCTAGCATAACATAGCATAAGGAGATAAAGGCTGTGTGGAGAATACGTTATAGAAAGGTTGGTATTTGTCAAAGAAGTAACAATATTGAAGGGGTATAATTCACTATGAAACGTCTGTTATGATCTTGAGGCATAGGTCTGGGCTTGGGGCTTTGACGAATCACCCTTCATTTTTTACATTAAAAGGAATGTCACTGTAATCTGGTTTGTAAAGCTGTGTTGTGTTATTATTCTGCGTCTTTTTTTTCTTCGCATTTTTGAGACAGTGATGACAGTGACATTAAAGGTCTCTGTATTATTCGTTCATTTGTTTTTCAAAATAAAACCAAAAATAAGAAAATGTAAAAAAACAACCATTTTCTTTATTATTTGTCGCCAAAACGAAAATAAATACGTTTTTAAAAAAGGATAATGATTTGTTGTTTCAGTTTTCGATTTTGTGTTTAAATGAATAATGGAAAAAACTGAGAATGGCCATGTCCCGTTTCCGTGACTTAAACTGTGATGCCGGACTTTTGTGCTACATATGGACTGATCCAGGTCTAAACCAGGTCTAAACCAGGTCTAAACCAGGTCTAAACTAGGTTTAAACCAGTCTCAGTCCTGATCTCAGTCCCGGTCTGGTCTGGTCCTAATCTCAGTCCCGGTCTCAGTCCCCTTCTCTGTCCTGGTCTGGTCCTGATCACCTAACAGTTTATTGGGCGCATCTCTGGGCTCGTCCCGACACTCCGTCTTGGTTCGGTTTTGGTTCAGTCCTGGTTTTGACCTGGTTTAGTCCTGGTTTAGTCCTGGTTCAGTCCTGGTTTAGTCCATATGCGGCGCAAAAGTCCGGCATCGCAGTTTAAGTCATGGAAACGGGAAACAGCCACTATCCGTTTTTTCCATTATTCAATTAATTTAGGCCACAATACGATACATATCTCGATACAGTGCACTTTCAATTCTATACAATATATTTTAAATCAATTTGATACGGTTCAATAAAATAAAGGCTAAATCATGGCTGATACTAGTGTTTTGTTAAACCAGTTCTTGTGCAAAGTTCATATGAAACACAAACATTTTAATCATCAAAACAGTGAAAGTAAGTAAGTTTTTTTTATTTATGTAGTGCTTTTCACAAACATATGTCACAAAGACACTTTACAGAGCATGATTCATTCACTGCACACCAGGTGGGGGTAAGCTACTATTGTAGCCACAGCTGCCCTGGGGCAGACTGACTGAAGCGCAGCTGTTATGCCAGTTGGCGTCATCTGTCCCTCTGACCACCACCATCACTCACACACACACACCACTTTCATACTAGGCAATGTGGGTGAAGTGCCTTGCCTAAGGACACGATGACTGGCACCCCCCTGTGGCACCTGATTTTTCCAGTGTCTTCCATCTGAGTACTGACCAGGCCCAGCCCTGCTCAGCTCCTGAGATCTGACGGCATTAGACTATGACCAGCTGGTATGGCCAAAATATCAAATGTGTTGCTTGTTTAGAGAAAGGAAACTTGTTTATGCAAGAAAACTGTAGCACTGTAACAAAATAAGTTTGTAAAATTTATCAAAAAATACTCTTGGAGATATACTGATACAGCAACCCATGATATCGATACTGTATCATCACATTAAACAATATGATATATCGATATTTCAATATTTTTGCACACCACTAAAGTACAAAGCACACAAAACTGTAACCATTCCAAAGCTCCTCCTGAGTGAAAATGAACGGTCTAACCAAGTTATGGAAACTAACCGTCTACATCCCTGAGATGAGTGAGTTCTATCCCACCACTGAGCAACAGGCCGGTAACAGGAAGTGACTCTCACCTGACTGTCGTGTGCAGTATTGATGCACATCACTGAAGATGGTCAGTACAGTATTTCTGGTGTTTTTGTGACTATCAGGTTACCTTTGGGTCCTTGGGCAAGACACTCAACCCACCTCGCCCCCGGTGTCTGCGTACAACAGAGTGTTTCTGTTTCAGAGAGAAAAACTCAACCTAAATGTGCAGGGTTTGTGTGTTAAACGTGTGAATGAAACAAAACACAACTCCAGGTCTGTTTATGATGAGGAAACAACAAAAAATCCTAAGGCCAGTTGTATCTTAGTAATCTTGGTTTGGCTGAGTTCAATGCTGGTCCCCTCTGACCTCTGTTCTTATCACATACAACAACACGGTCCCTCCATATCTCCGTCCCAATCATCTGTACCTCGCTACAGCTGAATCACCATTACTCACGTTGAAACAGACGGTGTTGGTGCATTAGTAGGTTTAACACTTACCCACAAATCATAGCGTGTCTGGTTTAAGTCTCACCTGAATGGTTCTTGGCAAACGGTTCTTGTGTCCTTAGGCAAGACACTTTAAGTATACCATGTAGTGCAAATGTGTGAGAGTGTTAGAAAATAGTGTGTTAGAAAATTTGATGTACTTTTCAAATGAGTTAAAGCCCCAGTATGTAACTTTATCCAAGTAATAGACTGAAATAAAAGCATAATAACAACAACTACAACAACTACAACAACAACTACTACAACTACTACTATTACTACTGCTATGACTACTACTATGACTACTACTATGGCTACTACTACTACTACTACTATTACTACTATTATTACTACGACTATTACTACTACTATTACTACTATTACTACTACTATTATTACTACTACTACTATTAATATTATTACTACTACTATTACTACTGCTATTATTACTATTAATATTATTACTACTACTATTACTACTGCTATTATTACTATTACTATTATTACTACTACTATTACTACTACTATTATTACCACTACTATTACTGCTTTTACTATTACTATTACTATTATTACTACTACTATTTCTATTAATACTACTACTACTACTACTACTACTACTACTTGTTGTTATTATTATTATTATTATTATTATTATTGCAAATAGTTCTATTATTTGACATATTTTGAAAATGAGTTTAAGCCCACTGGGAAAACTTTCATCCTTAGTGTGAGCAGACTTGCATTTCCACAGACCTGACTCTTAAGGCAACAGCATAAAACATACCTTCATGGAGATTTCAAATGACAAATGCAGTTGTTAAAAAGTTACATAATGTTGCTTTAATTGCCTGCTGAATATTTGACATTGGTACATTATGATCCAACATGGACCACCCTATAACCAGATGATTACCAGTTCAAATCTCGCCTTAGAGCGCTGTGCAGTTGCTTCCACCCGACATCAATTCCGACAACTTGTAAACGTTTTTTCCACAAACAGTGATAAAAGAAAATTCCAATTTAGGTTATTGAACAGCAGTTGCTAAGAGACGGATATAGATTGAAAAACATGTGTATTAGTTGTTGCTTTGTTGCTCACTTATGGACGGTTAAAAACGTTGTACCAAACAGCTCGCGGGCGTTTTAATATCGCGCGCTCCGATAAGACATGCCAGTGAATGAACTCTTTTAGGTCAATACAAAAAGTTTAAACGCATATTCTGCCTCCCTGGAGCTCCGCACCCCCCCTCTCCCTCCTCTCTAGCCCCGGTTCGGCTTGTTTGCTCTGGGTAGATATGTGTGCAGCGTGCCCTAGTTTGCCACTGTCACCGGGTCCGAATGGGATTGAGCACTGGAGGCCACCATTGAAATGAATCTGATCCATCATTGTCTGCGGGGGGGGAGAGAGGAGCCGAGCGGGGCCCCGTAATGCTTCAGCGGGAGGGGGGAGGGAGGGGAGAGGGGTTGTGGGGGGTGTCGCTGACTGGATCCAGGCCACCCCGCTCGCCGCCGCCGCTGCAAATTGCCTTGATCTCATCATTGGTTAGCCCCTGGAGCTAACGGGCTATCAGCTGAGCTGGAGCCAGAGAGCGGCGTGTGACTGCAGTGTCCGAGGTGGCACAAGTGTTCACAGATAATGATGATATACCTATGAATAGTCTAGTGTAGTTGCTCGTTTTAAATAAGTATACCTCT